GTATGAAAATTTTGCTACTTTACTATACAAACTGGTCATAAACTAACGCCAACGGATTATACGTGCTCGGTGCGCCAAAATACTTTGCATCACATTCACTTCAGCTTTACATACTTCTCATAGACTATTGACTAAAGTAACAACAGGTGTAAAAATAATTTTGTTTTTTTTTCTGCTTCTTCTTCTATTTCTGTTCGTTTGCCTTTTTTAAATTCAATATGAGTAGTTATGATTTTTTTGTTGCTTTTTACACTTAAATTTATGCTTCGTTTGTTATTTAGAATGATATTAATTTTGCGATTTAATATTTATACTCGTAATATTTTTTTCACCAAAAAACGTTAAACAAAACGTTAAATTTTCTTTTTTTTTTTAATAATTTTCCCTAAAAGTTTTAAAAGAAATTTTCTTGACGCTTTGCAGCAACAAGAAAATTTCTTTTTCTCGCACTAAGTTAATTTTTTAGAATACAAAGATTAAATATTTCTAATGAAAAATTTATTTCAATTGATTTACTCATAAGGATGTTTTGTATGCGTATCCTAGTGGTGATGTGTACTACACACATACATATCTCTTATATGTATATACCAATAACGGGTTGTTGCTAAAAGCTCGTTTTTTTTTCTTTTCGCTTGACGTTGTAATTCCTGCAATGCTTTTCTTATTCGAGGTATGTATTTGTATTTTCACTGCAATTAATTGCCAATTCCGGCAAGCGGTGTCGATCAGTGCCAGGCGAATAGGCAATGCGTGAAAAGTAGGTATCCAGTGGAGACAATAATGCTGCCAATCATAACTGGAAAGCCGACCCTATGGAAAAAGTGATATATATATTTGTTTTAATTCTTTAAATAAATTAATAGTCAGTGTTGCCAACTTACTTGAAAAATTCGAGAAAAGTGAATTTGTAGCCATGCTGTTCGGCTACACCTGCGCAAACGACATTCGCTGAGGCGCCGATTAGCGTGCCATTGCCTGTGGAAAAATATGGAAATACATATAAGTGTTAACAGTCAAATATAATGAGTAGAAAGTTGAAATGATGGCGGTTAAGGAAACTAACCGAATTGGATTGATAAATTTATGGGGAAGATTGAAAAATGTTATCGCCGATCGCAGTTTATTAAAGTACTCGTACTCTAAGAATGAGCCGCTTTTCCAATTTCCGTCAATGCAATCTCATGGACCTTGTCAATATTTCTCAGGCTTAGGATAAACTAGCAAATAGCCGGCTTGCTTAGTAACGCCTTAGTTTGGGTTCGAGGGTCATTGTGCAGGTATTCGAGCAGCGGGTGTTGAGGTCATTTCATCTCACGATACTCCATTCAGCTGACACAGTAAGGGTAATGAATGATATTCAGTCTTACCGCATTTTTAGCTATCAGCCATGAACAGTTAAAACTCCCCCAGTGGCGAGAGATGTGACTTGCTTGGTCTGAAGTAGAGATGGGCATGAAACTAAATATTAAGACCAGATTCCCTTATCCACAAATCAAATATTTAAGTCCCGAGCCCGCTCATTCCGACGTTTTTCAGAATTTTACCGCGGGTCCCGTGCGTCCCGAAATCTATCACCCAGGTTAATTTACATGTCTTTCAAATCAATTTTCGTTTTCTCTCAATAAAACATAAAAAGTGCCTATTTCATAAAACGTTTTTAATGAAGATTTTCTGAATTTGTGGAGGTCGCGGCTTTTATTGGGACAGTCGGGAACGGATTTTGGTCACGCCCTGGCCGCAAAATTTGTTAGGACCTTCATGATGGGTTCCACGGGTCCCTATATCCCGCGCCCGTCTCTATTATGAAGACCACTCTAGACCGACTCCGATCTAATCGTGGCCTGAAGGGTTAATCCACCTTGCATTCCAAGGTCTTGGCCCAGCGCATGCCGAGCTGACCAAACCCCATGAGCGGACCAAACCCCACTGGGTCCAAAGGAAGTTCGGCAACGCAGTTCTTATCAACCCCATCGGTGAAACGAAAATAACCAAAAAGGGGAGTAATCTCCTGCAACGGTTTTCCAGCAGAGATCTTTTCCTGGCATAAATATGAGCACTTGCCCTTAGCTGAGAACCCCTGGCTTCACGCCATTTAGTAGAACTTATACCGGATTTGAAGAACACATCAGTTTAAACTATTCATCTTTTGCAAGGCTGCGGTCTAAGCATTGCGTCTTGGCACACGGCTATATAACAAGATCTTCAAAATCCACAAAGGGTTTCGAACAGTACCAAAAAAAAAAAANTTTGAAATGATGGCGGTTAAGAAAACTAACCGAATTGGATTGAGGGATTTATGGGAAAGATTGAAAAATGTTATCGCCGATCGCAGTTTATTAAAGTACTCGTATTCTAAGAATGAGCCACTTTTCTAATTTACGTCAATGTAATCTCATGGACCTTGTCAATATTTCTCAGGAGTAGGATAAACTAGCAAATAGCTGGCTTGCTTAGTAACGCCTTAGTTTGGGTTAGAGGGTCATTGTGGTGCCTTTAAGAGGGGAACGGAAAAGGTACAGAAAGGAGGGAAGAATGTAAGCAGAGGGAGTGATGGAGGAATACACATAAGACTTCTTGTAAGAAAAACGCTCATCGGGAATGTCGAAAAAGTGGAACGCGATGTGCTTGAACCCAAGGCTCGTAGAGGCAAGGCATTCGAGCAGCGGGTGTTGAGGTGATTTCATCTCACGATCCTCCATTCAGCTGACACAGTAAGGGTAATGGATGATATTCAGTCTTACGGCATTTTTAGCTATCACGCAATGAACAGTTAGATGGTAGTAGAGATGGGCATGAAACTAAATATTCAATCCAGATTCCCCTATCAAATTTGTATGTCCGGAATCCGCTCATTCCGTCGTTTTTCATAACTGTACCGCAGGTCCCGTGGGACCCGAAATCTATCACCGAGGTTAATTTACATGTCTTTAAAATCAATTTTAAATAATAAATCCGATTAGTTTTTTTAACTTCACTGTACGTTTTCGCCTCAATAAAACATAAAAAAAGTGCCTATTTCATAAAACGTTTTTAATGAAGATTTTCTGAATTTGTGGAGGTCGCGGGTTTTATTGGGAGATTCGGGAACGGATTTTGGTCACGTCCTGGTCGAAAAATTTGTTAAGACCTTCCCGATACCGCCCATCCCGGCCATTTTGAAATCAGTATCGTGAGTTGCGCGGGTCCCTATATCCCGCGCCCGTCTTTATTATGAAGATCACTCTGGACCGACTCCGATCTAATCGTGGCCAGAAGGGTTAATCCCCTTGCATTTCAAGGTTTTCCCCCAGCGCATGCTGAGCTGACCAAACCCCATGAGGTCGGAGTTCATTTACATAACGGTTTAAGAAATAAAGGACAGGATGCGTCCTTTATATAGAAAAAAGTTTTAAGGACAGATGGGTAAAACAGAGGACTGTCCCTTCAAATAAAGGATGGATGGTAACCGCATGTATAATGCATTCCTCTCAGAAGGAATCTTTTTCGGTAGATGGAAGTGGTAGCAGTTGGTTTTAAACAGTTAAGCCAAAGGTATTCCGACCTCAGTTCGTGCCTGATATAACAAGGAAACTATTCGAATGACTACTAAAATCTCATCACCAGAAGCAACTGATATTGCCGGAGGACTATCGTTCAGGCAGCACGGCTTCAGAGCCGGCGTCAAATTGAACCATCGGAGCCGGAATACAAAATGGTAGTACTATTAGCAACTATTGACGAAAGAAATGCGTTCAACAGACCAAAATCTCTAGAATGCAATTCATTTTGGAAGCTCGCAAGGGAATTAGCCAGGCCATTATTCAAATGCTAGCATCCAACCGGTGGGTGAGAAATATATAGTTCTGTTTCTCATAAATATACCACTCGGAATCGAATACGGTTTTAGCCCAGGCTGAAATTCTCTGCACAAATAGAGTAAGCTTTGGAATCCCCACAATGCAAGAGGGAGCTACCCTGTCAACTAAACTTTCGGTATTATTTTATGGATAAGATATCTTAAAGCTATGTAAGTCTTCGCCTGCGAATAATAACCTCAAATCACCGAACCACAGCTCGTCGAGTCAGCTCTGCGTACACAAAATTGTCCGGGCATACTGATCAAATTATAAGGGCCACGACTGCCATAGAATAGATAGCTAAGCAAGGTATAGCCATTTGGATCTTACAAAGTGAAAGAGAATTGGAATAATAGTCCAATAAAAGAAACAATCGGTGGACGGCTAGACTTACGCCAACAGCGGAACACTGGATCCACAAGAAGTTCGGCAAAGCCAACTATTACATCACGCAGTTCTTATCAAGCCCATCGGTGAAACGAAAATAACCAAAAAGGGGAGTAATCTCCTGCAACGGTTTTCCAGCAAAGATTTTTTCCTGGCATAAATCTAAGCACTTGCTCTAAGCTGAGAGCACCTGGCTCCACGCCATTTAAGTAGAACTTATACCGGATTGAAGAACACATCAGTTTAAACTATTCATCTTTTGTAAGGTTGCGGTCTAAGCATTGCGTCTTGGCACACGGCTATATAACAAATTCTTCCAAATCCACAAAAGGTTTCGAACAGTACCAAAAAAAAAAAATCAAGGAATCTAAAAAGGACACAAAATCCTTGACCATAGTGTTTAGAATTCGTGAGGTTCGAAAAATTTAGTATATAGAAAAAGTGGAAACACAACAAAAAAAATGAAACCAACCCCCAGGAAGCTAGTGCTTATACATATAATATTCCGTTAGGTACTTACCACCCAAACAAGCGCCCAAGGCCAAAGCCCAAACAAGTGGTTGCAGTGGCAAATTCAACGCAGAATTTTCGGCCAAAGAAATTGTGATTTTCACCATCATCGTTGTTAGTGGAATATTGTCAACAAATGCAGAGGTTATGGCTGAAACCTAAACAAAAAAAAAAAAAGAAAAACAAGATGCAATTACGAGAGATCAAAATCACTCAAATTGCTATACGTACCCAAAGTATAATTAAAACCGCCACCATTAGGCGAGAACCTTCGCTCACGCCCAAAATAATGCTTTCTGTCATTTGGCCAATCCATTCTATGAGACCCAATTCGGATAGAGCTTCCATAAGTATGAATAGAGCGGCGAAGAAAAGCAACGTANCCGTTAGGTACTTACCACCCAAGCAAGCGCCCAAGGCCAAAGCCCAAACAAGTGGTTGCAGTGGCAAATTCAACGCAGAATTTTCGGCCAAAGAAATTGTGATTTTTACCATCATCGTTGTTAGTGGAATATTGTCAACAAATGCAGAGGTTATGGCTGAAACCTAAACAAAAAAAAAAGAAAAACAAGATGCAATTACGTTAGATCAAAATCACTCAAATTGCTTTACGTACCCAAAGTATAATTAAAACCGCCACCATTAGGCGAGAACCTTCGCTCACGCCCAAAATAATGCTTTCTGTCATTTGGCCAATCCATTCTATGAGACCCAATTCGGATAGAGCTTCCATAAGTATGAATAGAGCGGCGAAGAAAAGCAACGTAGACCACTCGACACGCGCCAATATTGCTTCCATATCCTCAATATCGGCTAGGATGAGCAGAAATATGGCACCCAAGAGAGCAGTCCAACCCAACGAGAGGCGCTGTAATTCGGGCACTGAGTGCAGGAAAAACAAGCTTATCACGAAGACGAGAGCAAATGAGCATTTTATGAGCAGTGACTTGTTGCGAATGGGATACTGCGAAAGAGGAAGAAGAGAAAAAGTTAAATTAGTTTTGTGAAAAGAAAAAAATATTAAAAAAAAATAGCTCCTACCTTCGCCTGCAGCTGCGTCAGTGTTTGTTTGTAGTTGGGCGCNTTCGACACGCGCCAATATTGCTTCCATATCCTCAATATCGGCTAATATGAGCAGAAATATGGCACCCAAGAGAGCAGTCCAACCCAACGAGAGGCGCTGTAATTCGGGCACTGAGTGCAAGAAAAACAAGCTTATCACGAAGACGAGAGCAAATGAGCATTTAATGAGCAGTGACTTGTTGCGAATGGGATACTGCCAAAGAGGAAGAAGAGAAACAGGAAAATTAGTTTTGTGAAAGGAAAAAAAAATAAAAATAAAAAAAATGGCTCCTACCTTCGCCTGCAGCTGCGTCAGTGTTTGTTTGTAGTTGGGCGCCGGTTCGCCAGCCTCCGAGACACGTTTCTTCAAGCTATGCTTCAGGCGATTCACCTTCTTCATCAGCGTTTGCCGCACAATTTCTTCGTCCTTCGAATAGGCCGAAAGACTTTGAGCTGCGCGCTTCCACACGTGAATCTCGTGACGCAGCTCCTCCACCTCGGGCGAGTCTTTGAATTGTAAATCGTTTGTATTGCGGAACTTAAAACGTAACTGCACATAGGTCTGTATCATCACCAATATCACGCCGGGCAGCATATGCAGCGTGAAGATGGCAAAATTGACACCCTGCGTTCGGAAGAAAAGACACCATAAGTATCATAGTTAGATTTACAGGGCAGAGAGACAAAAGTCTTCCCTAAGAAAATTCTCAATTCTGGCAAAAATATTGAAAGCTATTTTCCATATGGTATTACCAATACATACGTTTCTTGCAATGAAATTATTCGAAGCAATTATCACATTCGGCGGATCGCCTACGGGCGTCAGCGCACCACCGATATTCGAATAGATCACCATGCACATCAGTATAGGCACCGGATTCAGCGACATCACCTCACAGAGGCGTATAGTGACTGGTGTCATCAGCAACACCGTCGTCACATTGTCCAGAAAAGAGGAGAGCACCGCCGTAAATAGACATAGGCAATTGATAAGCGGCCAAATATGTCCGTTCGTAATCTGTAAAGCACATAAAATGGGAGTTATACTTATATACTTAGTCAGAAACTCAATTGCTTTCCCGTCTTTCATTCCACCTCCCTCCCACTCACCTTATAAGCATACACAGCCAAATAATCGAAGATGCCAGTCTCCGAGAGTATAGCCACCAATATCATCATGCCAAAGAGCAGCAGNTTGCACATAGGTCTGTATCATCACCAATATCACACCGGGCAGCATATGCAGCGTGAAGATGGCAAAATTGACACCCTGCGATCGGAATAAAAGACACCATAAGTATCACAGTTAGATTTACAGGGCAGAGACAAAAGTCTTCCCTAAGACAATTCTCAATTCTGGCAAATGTATTGAAAGCTATTTTCCATATGGTATTACCAATACATACATTTCTTGCAATGAAATTATTCGAAGCAATTATCACATTCGGCGGATCGC